AGAGTCCAAGGCATGGACATGGAAATTGTCAATTGATTTTTGACAAAAGTACAAAGATAATTTAGTGGAGAAAAGAGTAATTTTAACAAATGGAGATGGAACAGTTGGGTAATCATGGCGAAAATAATCTGCACCTGGCACCAATACAAAGTAGCTCAAGAGACCGTAGACCTAAATATAAACCCTGAAGCCACTGCACAGAGAAGCAAATGTAGGAGTCTTTGTGACACTGGACTGAGCCATCATTTCTTGGATAATATCAAGATCAGAATCCATAAGAGAAAATATTGTCAAATTTGGCCTTGTTAAATCTGATAAGCTGTTCTTTGATTAGAAAAAAAAGAGTCCACGAACTAGGAGAAAATATCTTCAGACCTCATACCTGTTAAAGGATTTGTTTTCAGGGTATATAAAGAATTTTCCTTTGTTGGTGGGAATGTAAAATACAATCATTTTAGCCGGGCATGATGGTGCATCCCTTTAATCCCAGCACTCAGGAGGCAGAGGCAGGCAGATCTCTGTGAGTTCAAGGCCAGCCTGGTTTACGTAGTGAGTTCCAGGTCAGCTGGGGCTACAGGGAGACCCTGTCTCAAAAAGACTAAAAAACAAACAAAAACAAAAACAAAATACAACCATTTTAGAAACCATTTCGCCAGTTTCCTAAAATGTTAAACATATACCTGTTATACGGTGTGGCCGTCCTCTGCTGCATACTTACCCAGCAGAAGTGAAAGCATGTTGTTCCTGGAAGTCTGGACATACATGGTTATGACAGTTGCATCTGCAGTAGCTACATAGTGAGAACAGCTTAGATGCTGTCAACAGGTGGGACAGTTCAATAAGGATTCCATCTCATCTGTGCTCTCAGTGACAGAAACCAGGCAAAACAACAGTACAAAGTACATGATCCATGTACATAAAAATTCTAGAAAATCTATTGTTTTGAAGTACAGAATCAGTGTCTGGCTGGGGTGTGTAAGAGGCACAGATTCTGTAAGGGCATGTGAAAACCTGGTGCAATGGTGTGTTCATCAGCCTATTAGTCATCATGGTGTGAACACTTATCAAGTTGTACACTTTGTGTGTTAGTCCACTTTATGTTGCTGCAGCAATGTCTGAGGTTGGTACTTTAGAAAGAAAAGAAGTGTTACAGTTCTAGGGGCCCTGGTGAGTGTCCCTTCCCTGATCTCCCACCCTCATGTCATAGCACAGTGAAGTGGAATGGGAACACGCCTAGGAGAAGGGTGACCTCTTTTTATAATGACTTTGAGAGTGAGGATGTATTCTCATGAGAAAAGCACCAATCCCTTCACTAGACCAGTGCTCCCCAGAATCTGCTCATCTCCGCTGAGCCTTCATTTAAAGATCCCAACACTTTAAAATTGCTACACTGAAGACCAAGCTTCCTGGGGAGACCAAGGGCATGTGGGGAGGCACGCTCAAGACTGTCTGAACTGTAGCACTGCATGTAGTGTATGTAAGTTCCAGTTCAGTGGGGCTAAGATTAACATGTCTTATTTTTGTACACATTGTGGTTATCTTCATTCTACACTGACAAGGTCTGAGACTTCACTTACTTTGGCCTGTGAGCTTTTCTCTTTTGAGGCGATTTCTTTGTCGTCATTTGATTCTTTGGCACCAAAGCCGACATTGGGTAGTCAGGTGTTGGTGAGCAATGTAACATTTCCAGAACTTGGATGTGGAGAACCTAATTAAATTACAGATGTCTGCAAAGAATATGGAAAGTTAGTAAGTGGAATTTATTTTGCCCAACAGTATCTCAGTAAATTAGGAAATGTGGTATAGCCACTTTCTGGCTTTAAAGCTGGTGTTGAGAATCTGAGGCTGAAGGTACCATGAGGGCCCATGTCAGAGGGGCTGAGTGCTGCCCTAGCAGTGCTGCTGAGTAGGTTCATCACGGCTTTCTTTAAAGATAGTTTTCTAGAAGGACAGGGTGGCATTAATTGGATCAGAATTCTTTCCTCTAAGTGGAGTGTGCTCCTCAACAGGATGCTGTTTATCGTCTATAAACATGTGTGTTAAAGCTGCTATTTCTGTTTTCTACTGTGCTGGTTCAGAGCAGTATGCCAACACTACAGTGTCCCCAGGAAGTGATTATTTGCATAGTAAGAATTATTGTACCACCTCTTGCATCTGGAAGAAACACGGAAGTTCTAAATAAAATGTTGAATAATCAAAGTACGGACTAAAGACTGCAAGTAAAAGTTTATGAACTGGGCCTGACAGGACAGCTTTGATTCAGGTCCATATAGTCTTTCTTTGGGTACAATTCTTGAAAAGTTTTGTCTTAGAATCTTCACCCAGCACTGGCTAGGGTAGAGAGACTGTAGATAGATACATGCAGAGTGCTAGTAATGAAAACCAGGAGCTGATACAACTGGCGGGGGAGGGGGGCGGAGAGAGAGAGAGAGAGGAAGAGAGGAGAAATGGAGCCTGGGGACTTGTAAGATTAGCAGTGTGCTGGGAGCTAACAATGACTGTTAATAAAAGCAAGAAAGTATGGACTATTTTGTGGCAGACATTGGTCCAGTTGTTATCCATACATTATTTCACTTAATTCTAAATGATGACCACACATGTATCATTAAGACTAATTTTATAGATGAGGAACCTGGGACCTAGCAAGGTTGTCACATGGAAGTGCAGACAGGACACAGTCAAATCGTCAAATCTTTGAGACTCAGGTTTGTACACTCAGACCTCTTTGTCTCTGCTTGTCTGTCTCTCTCTCCCCATCTCTCTCTCTCTCTCTTTCTCTCTCTCTCTCTCTCTCTTTCTCTCTCTCTGTGACTCAGGTGTGTACACTCAGTCTTCCTTAGGTCTTTGTGCCTTCCTGGTGATTGTGATTATAATGGGCCAATAAAGAAAAGGAGTGAAATGTTTATCTTCTTCTTGTCTTTTAAAAGACAGGTTTTACCATGTCATCCAGGCTGGCCTTGAGCTTGTGAACTCTAATGATTCTCCTGTGTTGGCCTCCTTAGTATCTGGGATTTAGAGATGTGTACCAGTGTGCTTGGCCTTAACTTTTTCCTTTAAGGGGACAGAGTGTATAAACATATTTTAAAGCAATTTTTACTTTAAAAAGTTCAAATTAATTTTCTCACTAAAAGATGTTAAGACAGGGCCTAGAGAGATAGCTCAGCAGGAATATCAGGAGTTCAGGGCCATCTTGGACTACTACAGAGAGAGTTTGAGGTCAGCCTCGGATAAATGAGATGCTGTCTCAAAAAAAAGATATTAATACATTGTTTTCTAAAAAGTTGTGTAAAACATTTTGCTTCTTGCAAAGATAAAATGTGCATTATAATCATGTGTTAAAAATATCTTGATTTTTGGATAATAAGCTATTAATTGTAGACTAGAGAGATGGTGCAGCAGTTAACAGCACTGACTGGTCTTGCAGAGGACCCAGATTTGGTTCCCAGCACCCACATGGTGGCTAACAGTCTATAGCTCCAATTCCAGAGGATCCTGCACCCTCTTCTGGCCTCCTTGGGCTTTGCATGCATGTGATGTACTTACATACATTCGGACAAAACACTTATACACATAAAATTTTTAAAAAAAAGAAAAAATTAAAAAGACACTATTAGTTGATTTTATTAATTACTTTACTGAAAGAAATGAATGTCTTTAGATAACCATGCTGCTGTTCAGGTTTTTACCTCCTTGTCTTCCATAAGAACGAACAGGGCAGCTGTGAGTGTGGATATGAACTCATGCCATAGCAGTGGGAGTTTGTGTTGACAGTTCAGAGGGCTCACTTTTGTCTGAGCCAGAGCAATATGTTGTGTGTGTTTGCCACTGTGTTTCTAGTGCTCTGAGCACGGTCTCTCAATAAAGGTGTGCAAAGAGCACAATACCTGTTTTTAAAACTGCACACAGTGCTCTGAGTATATACTTAGCATAACTTTTATCTTTGACTCCATTTTAAAGATTATAATCATCATTTTTGAAGCTCAATCTAGAATTTTCATGTTTGGCCTTGAAAAATAGATGTTGGGCAAACACACTGCCAATAACAAGCCTGAAAGTGTCACTTCGTGAGTCAACACTCATTTTCACTGCTGTTTATTGTGGCAGAACACGACCAAAAGGAAAACTCCTCCTTGAGCTTGCCTGCCTCGGTCACATTTTCTTTCCCATTTTGTATTGTTGTTGAAACTCTGGTTTTTCAGGATTCCAGGTACAGAGTCAGCCCTACTACTCACATGCTCTGCAGCCTTGACGAGTGACAGCCAGCCTGTGCTGCAGTGCTGTGGGTCAGCAGTACTGTCTGTCTCAGGGACTCCTTGATGAGGAAGTGAGTTCACAGAAGGCCTGCAAGTCCCTTAGAGCAAGCAGTACTTGGCACATGGAACACAGTAAATGCCAGTTATTATTATTAGGCCATTTTATGAGGTTTAAATTAAATGAGATTATATGTGGGAAATGCTTAGTGGGTACTTGGTATTTGCTAGTAGATGCTAGTAGCTCTAATTTAAATATCCCATGCTGATGTGTCTAAAGAGCTGTGTCTTTGATCTCTGCATGGGTGATGACACTAGTTAATTTACTTGGGGACAGAGGAACAAGTAACTGTTTTTTATATTGGCTCTTACCGATAGGTTCAAATCACAAAACTAAAAATATTTTAAGTAAACACATAATTATTTTCTGATTGCCAGGTTTAGGTTGTCATTTCAAGTATGTGTTGACTTTTATTATTAGAAATTATAGATCTTGCTGGGTGTCATGGTACATGCCTTTAATCCCAGCACTTGGGAGGCAGAGGCAGGCGGATCTCAATGAGTACAAGGCCAGCTTGGTCTACATAGTGAGTTCCAGGCTGGCTTGGGCTACAGGAAGACCCTGTCTCAAGAAGATTAAAAAAAAAAAAAAGAAATTATAGATCTTGATGCATGTCACAATTTAGTGAACTTCGAAAAGATGTGTTAGTATCTAACCTGATTCTCTTCTTTTTCTTATCATCCTTACAGGTTTGTGGAACCTTGCTTCTCTGTTTTCCAACCTTTGTTTATTTGTGTTGATGCCCTTTGCCTTTTTCTTTCTGGAATCAGAAGGTTTTGCTGGCCTGAAAAAGGTAGGTGAATTGAGTTTGGAATTAAATTTGTTAAATGATGAAGTAAATATTATTCATATTGAGCTAGAGGAAGTATATTCAGACAAGCAGTTAAATAGAATATGAGCTGAATTAATGAATAATGTTGTTGGCACATTCTTGACAGTGGCATTAATAATACTGCATCATGAGTTATCGTGTGTGCTCAGGGAGAGTATTTTTATGTTATGTGTCCACCTGGAGGAGTGTCTTCTGCAGAGTAGCTGGCCTGACATCATAGCTCTTAGGCCTCTTAGGGTGGCTCATCTACCTTAGAGCCTGAACTCTAAAGGAACTTCTAAAAACTTAAAAAATACATCTTTAAAAATATTTATTATTTTTATTTTATGTGTATGAGTGTATTGCTTGTTTGTAGGTAGGTGCACCCATGTCATGCAATGCTGTGGAGGTCAGAAGGTATGGCATTCCTGGAACTGGAGTTGCAGACAGTTGTTAGTTGCCATGTGGGTGCTGGATATTGAACCCCGGTCCTCTGCAAGAGCAGCCAGTGTTCTTAACCGGTGAGCCAGCTCTCCAGCTCTTTAAAATACATCTTTAAAATATTTGGGGGGCTGGAGAGAGGGCTCAGTGGTCAAGAGCCCTGCTGCTCTTTCAGAGGACCCAGGTTTGGTTCCCTGAACCCACATGACAGCTAACAACTGTTTGTAACTCCAGTTCCAGGGAATCTGATGCGCTCTTCTGGCCTTCCATGGACATTGCATATATATGGTGCACTTACATACATGCAGGCAAAGCATTCATACACTTAAAAATAAATAAATAAAAAATTTTATTTCATGCACGGTATCTTGATCCTATTCAGCTCCCAACTCTTCCCAGATCCATCCCGTACTTCCCTACCCACCCAACTTCATGGCCTCTTTTTTTTTTTTTAAAAAAAGCCCATTGAGTCCAATTTATGTTGCCCAGATACCCTTGGGGGTGGGACCATACCCTGGGGTGTGTTCAGTCAGTGGGTATCATATCCTTAATGAAAAGTAACTTTCCCTTTCAGCTGCCAATAACGCTTCAACTAGGTATGGGACTTCATGCCTACCTCCCCACTCCATGCTGGGATTTTGTCGGGTCTGAGCTTGCCCAGGTGCATGCTTATACAACTGCTGTGAGTTCATATCTGCAACTGTTCTGTTGTGTTTGCTGTATTCATCCACCATCTCTGGCTCTCACAATCTTTCAGACCCTACTTCCATGACGATCCCTGAGCCTTGTGGGGAGGAAGTATGATATAGATGTTCGATTTAGGACTGAGCACTCCGCAGTCTCTTATTCTCTGTATGTTGACAAGCTGTGTTAATCACAATGTACTGTAAGAAGAACCTTCTCTAATGAACTAAACTATGGGTATGTCAATAAGTCATTAGTAATCAGTTTAATACTATGTCCATTTAGTAGAATAATGATAGTAGGTTCTCCACTAGGGTGTAACTTGTCTGGCCACAGGTTCTTGGTCCAGATTATGGTACCAGTTATGGGCTTCATCTCATGGAATGGGCCTTCAATTCAGAGTGGTTGGTTATTCTTATGATATTGCCATGACTGTACAGCAGGCATGTCTAGCCAGGCCAGTTGTCATTGTAGTTTGCAGGGCTCACACCGGGTAAGACTAATGATTACTTTTCTCCTCTTATGGTAGCATCCATAGCACCTTCCAGCACTATGAAAGCTAGCCAGCAGGGAGGAAGCTTCCAGGTCAGGACCAACTTGGTTTCTCCGTGTTCTATTATGTAGGAGAAATAGGGTCTTACCATTAAGTTCTGGAGGGTAACAAAGAGCAATGGCAATTGCCTGTAATGTATGGGGGTCTTTGGGAACCCACTGACGAGGAACTTCAAAAGAGATAACCCATTCCTGGCCCTGGGTTTCTTATTTGCTAGGCTGTGGTGTCTAGTAGGGGTATTGTCACCCCTTTATAGAGTAACTCCATTTAATCTCTTTATTTTTATTTTTGTATTTAGGAAACGTCTACAGTAGATTTTTGTCTTAGTTACTTTCTATTAATATAATAAGAGTACTGACCAAAACCAGCTTGGGGAGGAAAGGGTTTATTTTACCTTCAGCTTACAGTTCATAATGGAGGGAAGCCAAGGTGGGAGCTCAGGGCAGGAACCAAAGTACCGTGGAGGAACACTGCTAACTGGCTTGTTCCTCTGGACTGTACTCAGCCTGCTTCTTATCCACAGTGGCCTATATCACTCACAGTGGGCTGAGCCCTCAGTTGAGGTGCCCTCTAGCCAAGTGTGCCAGGTTGACAACTAAAACTATTCCACACAGTTTCCATATGACCTAAAGTACATCTTGATGGGGAGCTATTCACATTCAATGTTTTCAGGACAGTGGCACATTATAAAAGCAAGTATTCTGCATTCAGTAGACCCCAGGATGCTCAGAGTAGCTGATAGTACTTGGGAGGCTTTGCGAGAACATCTGAAATGAACCATGACTTTACAAGAGGCGATGACCTTGAATACTGAATGTACATCCAATGCAGATCTTTCCCATAAAATTTTGAAATATAATGCAAAGAGTCATGTTTAAACTTGTCAGAGTGAGACTAGTGTTAGACCTGAGGTGCTTCATGTCTGATTTCTACTTCTGTTCATGTTGTGATATATGGAATGAAATGTTCTATATATCTTATAAATTTGATATGGAAAGTGTAAACTATGATTATTACTATTTATTTCATATTATTCAGCCCTTTTTTGTGTGTGGTATATGCACATGTGTATGCTTGTGGAGGCCAGAGGTTGATATCCAGTGTCTTCCTTGGTTGCCCCTCACTTTATTTTATTTATTTATTTATTTATTTATTTATTTATTTATTTAT